CAGTATATAAAAGGTCAAGTACGATGTATACAAACACTAACAGCACAAGTCTTCGCTCGAAACGTCGAAGTTCTCCTTGTATTTTTCAGGTAGTTGTATCCCTATCAATCCGAAGCTTTCGTACATATTTCCTCCAGGATTTTTATTTGTTCTCAATCGATTTCAGTGTAAAAAGTATCAAATTTTCGACGAGAAATTCCAAATACTTTGTTTATATAGAACTCACGTTGGAAATCCAACGTACTATCTACCGTTATAGCCAATCACAGGCCTGAATCAATTCGATTTCTCCAGAGCTATGCCCACCCTTAACCTGCGAACGGGCATGCTCGGGGAACGAGATTGGGTGTAAATGAACCCCCGCCCCTGAAGCATCAACGCTATTTATAGATGCATTAATTAAGTAAATATTCAAAATTAGCCACTCCCTCTCTCCTCCGCAGAGGCTTTAGTTTTCTTAGGATTTAATATTACGATGAGATACATTTCACTACACTTTACATGGCGGATCTTGGAACACGAGCGTAGCCGCTGGGCGAAGGAGCGCAGGCGGCAAAGGGAAAGGCGAGGGAAGGCGCGAAGCCTCTGCACGATTTGCATCGCAAAGTGGGACAAAGTGTAAACATCGAAACAAAAGGTGATTTTTATAAAGCTAAACAAGAAACGCCTTTTTGAAAATTAAATCATTATTTAATGCATGATTGATTGACCTCATTGACTAGTGCTTGCATGTTTGCGGATGGTCAAAAGTAATATTTTTAAACATTTAATACACAAAGCAAAACAATCGTATATTTTACTCACCGCTTGGCCAAACATTCTGTATTTCGTATCGAGAAAAACTTGAATATTTCTTGAACTCTTCGGAATTCGCCACCAGTCAAAGAAGTAAATACTACTTGTATTCAAGCGCTTTCGTGTAGAAAATTTCTTTTGAATACGGCCAGTAGAAATATTTATTTTTAATTTTTCAAAATATCGGGTTTTTACTCGCACAGTTGCACGCGCCTGTCACACGCTGATATTCGGGAACTAGTTCACAATCAGACCAGGAACGGAAATACCATAATAAAATATGAATTTTTAAGATACAAGCTCAAAAATAACACTTTAAGTAGCGTTTTCAATTCGCTTTCGAACAAGAGTAATACAAAGAAAATGCGTCCCAAGGAGGCGAAGTTATGGTCGCCGAAAGGTATGCCTAGTTTATATTTATCAAGTGTAAACATTGCGTGATTTGATATTAATATACAAAATTCCGCTTGACTTTCAAAGGCCATAAATCGCTATAGTGTTGACATTTCACTAAAACTATCGACAGAAATTAGGAGATATTTTTGCACTGAATCGAACGGTGGTAATTTCATCTACATAGCGTATATTGAACCAAAGATACGAACCTCCAAATAACCAGGTCGAAACCGACTGAAGGTCACGTTTGTTTATAAAGTTGAAAAAGTTGAATTGTATTTTCAGTCTTGATAATAAATTTAATAATGGTTCTGTATGCTATACATACTCATTTTTTTCTTTTATGCGGTTTTGGACACATTTCTAAAAATACAAATGTCAAATATAAATTTAAATAAAAGTTTCTTCGCTTGCAACCAAAACCTGTTCGCTAAATACGTTGTTTCCATGCATTGTTTTATAGAATATAGTGTAGATGGAGACCTTGTCTAGAAAAAATGCAGATGTTTTCTCGCAAACTGGACATAACACTTTCTTATTTCGTAGAGCTAGTAAATAATATCTTTGTCAGCTTGTTGCAGTATTGTAAAGAGATATTTTCTCAGTCATTTTGACTTGAATTTTGCGTTTGATAATTAAACGCCCCCCCCCCGGTTTACCGCCATATTGGGTGTGGCATCGTGCAGAGGCTTCGCGCCTTCATAGCCAATTAAAGCCTCTACGAAGGAGAGAGAGAGCCACTCCCAAGCTGCTCCCAAGTCCCAACTGCCCAGCATAAAATAAATTCTTTGATTCTCATGATCATCACCGCCCGACTGAATTTTAAAATCCTCGTGAAAACGTTTTATATTTCGTTATACAACATAAATGTACGTACCGCCCGACAAAATAATTCAAGACAGTTAATTTTTTTATATTTTATATAGAGTTTTTATTGCCATTTTAAACTTCCAATTTGAAACAAACAGAATTTTGAATGAAATTTCATTGTATTTTAAAGAAACTCAGTCATTCTATCATTGTTCGTGGCGATACGAACTATTGATATATAAATTATATAAATATAAAATATAAAAAATAAATCTCCTACTGTCCTTGACATTTCAAAGTGTAGACTGTCTAGTGATGAGAATCAAGGAATTTATTTTATGTGTTAATATAAACCAAGCCCGTTTAGCCGCCTTAAAACGGTGGTTTAATAAGCTCAAAATACAAAGCATGTAAGTCTATACTATAGATTCATCATCAGTCAACAACCAAACTGAAAGTATTGAACCTTATAGAACGATAGTTTTTATTTGTTTGCAACTATACATATTCAACGGGTATATAAGAGTTTAACTGTTATTTGATAATTACTGCATCAACCGGCCCCTTGTTTATACTTTGGAGGTTCGTATATAATATCTATCAAGTATCTTTGGTTCAGAACATGATAGGCCTATATGAAAATCCCACTGTTCGATTCAGTGAAGAAATATCTCCTAATTTCTATCGATAGTTTTAGTAAAATGTCAACATTATTGCGATTTATGGCCTTTGAAAGTCAAGCGAGATCGTATATTATCAAATTAATACGCATGTGATTGTCTGAACGAAAATATAGACTAGCCCATACCTTTCGCCGATCATAACTTCGGCCCCTTCGGACGTATCTTCTTTGTTAAATATTCTTGTTCGAATCTCTATCAAAAACACTATTTAGAGTGTTATTTTTCAGCTTGTATCTTTTAATTTGCTTCTTTTATATTATGTTATTCCATTTCTGGTCTGACTTGACGTGAACTAATTTCAAAACGCAGAGTTTCAAAACGTCAAAAAATTTGGTTAATGATTAACATTTAACCGAATTTAGCCGTTGATTGACAACTACATAAAAATACTAACCAATCCGTTTTTTCCGTTCACCAGCGGACGGGTAATTCAAAAACCCCTAGTTTTGCGGCAGACGGTATTTCCTTTGCCTCCCTAATTTTCGCTGCCTGTAGAAATACCGCCTGCCGCGCAGGCTAACTCAATCCAGAATTCCTTGATTGTTGAGAACAATATTTGGAGCCAGGCTATAGCCCAGCACCATTATTAATCTGAAAATACATAAAGCAAACATTTCAGGC